AAATAATCGAAATAAAGTTGATATACGCCGCCCCCCAATAAGGCTAGTGACATTTTTTAATCATGTGATATTTTTTAAATTATGATTTATTTATTATTTTAGTTTTCTTACTTTTTAAGTTTCTTTATTATTATATTTTTTTTTACGTTTTTATATTAATTTTTCAAGTTTTATTAAATTATTTTTGTTAATATTTTTAATGAATTATCATTTTAAATAACTAAAATAATACATTTTAACCTAAACTTAATATTTTCGAGACTAACCCATTCAGTTAATATGTTTTCAATTTATTGGTTTTTATGTATTATGGTTATAAACACTAATTTATTTTTAAAAATTAGGTTAATAAGAGAGATTTAGAGATTAAATATGCATAAATTTTAATATAAATCAATCTTTATATAAAATTTATTTTTAAAAAAAAACACCTTTTTCATTTTAAAATACTAACAATTTATTCTTTAAAGTTACTAAAACATTCTTGATGCTAACATAAAGAAGTGCAGGCGAGGACATCAAGAGTAAGCTAACAACCATAGTCAGCACTGAGCAGTGCTTAAAACAGAAGAACGATGAAGTTGAAGTGGCCAAACATCATGTTCATCGGTTTTCTATTATCAACAGTAGCGGTCACATTTTCAGAATCAGAATCATCAGAATCAGAATCATCAGAATCCGACATCATTTCACGTTTTCAACAATACCTCAAAATCAAAACCAACCATCCAAGCCCAAACTACAAACAATCCTCGGAGTTCCTAATATCTGAAGCGAATTCCCTGTCACTCCATTCCCAAACTATCGAACTCGTTCCAGGAAAACCTTTAGTCCTTCTCAAATGGGTCGGAACAAGTCCAGACCTTCCCGCCATCATGCTCTACTCTCACACTGATGTTGTCCCTGCAGAACACGATAAATGGGACCATCCTCCCTTTGAAGCCCATCTCGATTCTGACGGAAGAATCTATGCCAGAGGCTCTCAGGATATGAAGTGTGTTGCCATGCAGTATCTTGAAGCTGTTCGCAAGCTTAAACAATGGGGTTTTCAACCCAAACGGAGTATCTATTTAGCTTTTGCTCCTGATGAGGAGATTGGTGGACATGATGGTGCTGAAAAGTTTTCCCTTTCTAGGGTTTTTCAGGATTTGAATGTTGCTATAGTGCTTGATGAAGGTAACTAAACATTGCCTCTTCTTAATGGAACATTGATTTCAAACTGTACTTACTCATTATTTAATTCATTTCAACTTTGTATTCACTTACAAACACACAGGGCTTCCTTCTCCGGATGCCAATTACAGGGCATTCTATGCGGAGAAGAGTCCGTGGTGGTTGGTGATCAAGGCTGTTGGGATTCCTGGACATGGAGCCAAGCTTTATGATAACTCTGCCATGGAGAATCTTTTGAAGAGTATTGAGAGCATCCAAAGGTATCGTGCCTCGCAGTTCGACTCCATAAAGGCCGGGTTAAAGGCTATTGGGGATGTTGTTTCTATTAATACAGTCTTTTTGAAAGCTGGAACTCCATCACCAACAGTAAGTCAATCAACTCCAATAAGAAATTCCACCAATTGTCATGGTTAATGATTCTATTATATCTTTCTTTTGCTGTGCACCAGGGCTTTGTCATGAATTTGCAGCCATCTGAAGCAGAAGCTGGATTTGATATTAGAGTGCCACCAACTGTGGATACAGAATCCCTGGAGAGGCGAATTTCTGAAGAGTGGGCACCTACTTGGCGCAATATGTCTTTCACCGTAAGTAGCTACTTATCCATTTTGCTTTATATTTAACATCCATGTATTATAATTACACAATACTCTACTAATAAGTGTCTACTTCATCTTTCAATTATATAGAAATTTAGAGCTATCGAAAGTATTTCGGTATTTCTAACATTAAGATTGAAACTTTCTTCTTTTTCTTCTTAGAAGTAGCATCTATGTATCTATCTATAACGGCCTTCACCTTCTGCAATTTCATCATCTTTTCTATGTGAAAAGGTTAATGTTATGGTTGATGAAGAGGTGTATAATAAAAACGACTGTTGAATTTTATCAACTAGACAACCAGATTAATTATTTTACGACTTTCTACTTTTCGTGAACAAATTACCTATTATTAGATTGCCCTCTAATACATTTTAGCTTGGGCAGTTCAAACAAAAGATGTATGGGCGCGATGCATCTGGGAAACCAGCCATCACCAAAACTGACAGTTCAAATCCTTGGTGGGCATTGTTAGAAAATGCTGTTCAAGAGGCTGGTGGAAAACTTGGCAAGCCAGAGATCTTTCCCGCGTCCACTGATGCACGATATTTCCGCAATCTTGGATTTCCAGCTATTGGATTTTCACCTATTGCAAACACTCCTGATCTACTCCATGACCACAATGAGGTGATTCTTATAGTATATTTTGTGCATATTTAATTATTTGATGTCAGTATGCTTATCAACACAAGTCAGTCATTGTTTGTACAATTATACATATGATTTGTTATTTAGAACTAGAAAGTGAGGTTGCATTGGCTATGCTATGCCTAAAACAGGGTAGTTCTGGACAAAAAAGTTTTCGGTTGATTTTTTTCCTTTATTTTGTTTCCATGTGGTTTCTTAGTACTCCCTCACCTTCTTCTCCTCTCCAAACTCTCCCAAACAAAGCTTAGCTTTTGAAATTGTACATTAATGTCATGCACCTTAGTTTAGAGTTTAACTTTGACTTATGTCTTGTTTCTTCTTTGTGCAGTTTCTCCACAAAGATGAATACTTGAAAGGAATCAAAATATATGAGTCAATTATTAAAGCATATGCGTCCTATGATGAACATGAAATAGATGAAAGGTTCAAAGATGAGCTATGAGCAAGGGCTGTGGCACTCTGGCTTTTGTCTCAAATGTAACATGATTTGAAGTGACTTAATAAAAAGGAAATAAAGCCGCTTTGTGTGAATATTTCTTAAATAAACTCTACATAATTTTGTAATGGAAAATTATTTTATTATGTTTGAATGTGCTTAATCCAACAAACAATAACTACAATTTTTTTAATCAAATTGGACAAATTAGAAGTTTATTTACTATATGAAACACTTTACACGCCATAAGTTTGTATTAGTCTATTTTTAGATATTGTAAAATAAACGGAGCGAAATGGAGCAGAACGAAGCAGAATAGAATAAATATGTCATTCTATTGTTTGAGTAGTTCATGATAGAATAGAACAATTTTGTCATTTCATTCAAATTGGAGAGTATAAAAAAATATTATGGAATGAGATGTAATGTGCTCCATCAAATTTTCCTCTATTCCATCTATTTTTAATCAATCCTAACGATGAAACATAACCTTATTTATTTCAATTCCGCTCCATTTCATCCATCCATGCAACCCTGCCAAGTCCTCGAGCCAATAATTTTTCCAACTCTACAATCTAACACAATAGGTTATAATCCAACTCTACAATCTAACACAATAGGTTATAAAACAGTAGAGAAAATAACTGAATTTAAACAGTCAACAACAATAAGTCCATCTGATCGAACAAGCACAAATTCCAACTTTAGATCACACGCAATTTGTAGACAGTTGATTGCTAAGACTTCATCTAGAGTTGGTTCCATGGATATATTTTCCTTTTTACTTGCAGCTGGGGTGACTTTGTTTGATTGGTTCTTAATCACACAACCCATTGTTATGAAACCATCTTGATAACATCCCGTGTCTACAATAAAATTAAGAATGCAATAAAATTGTCAAAAAAAAACATTAAACTTTTACTTCATTAATCGTATTAAGGTGTTAGTAGTAGAGAACACAATGATAATTAAACGAAACAATTGAAAAAGACATTATTGATAAAATAAAATTTATTTGCTAAAAAAACACTATTTTAGAACGAGTACTATTTTCAATCTAATGTGTATTTTTTTTTATAATTATTGTAATGGTTTGTATTTGGTCCATTAGTCAAACTCATTAGGTTATATTAACTTATTTGAACAGATCAGAGCATGTAAGTTTGACACAGCATTGCAATATTATTTATTTTCTACAAATACCAACGGTGATAATATTTTATTTCAACCAAGAATAATCTATACTATATTTTTCTAAGAAATCAAGGCAGTGTTGTCAATGGCGAATGGCAGTTCATGGCTGAGAGCCAAGTCATACCAGCCGCTTTGCATCGCCATTATAGCGGATTATAATAGGAAAATCCGCAATTTTGACCAATATTTATCATTGGAGAGTCCAAAAACTACCATGTATATCCGAGATTATGGTAGAAAAATCACAATTTGGACCAATATTTATCATTACAGCGAGCCCAAAAACTACCATGTATATCCGCCACAGTGACCATGGCGCCACAATTTGATAACACCGAATCAAGGATTTATGATTTCTGAGATCCACTTTAGAAATTGATACAGAAGCAAAAAAAACTTCTTACCTTCATTTTATGGTAAATTAGTGTTCACACTTCAGAGCTATTGCATGGAAATCATTCACGGTTTTTTGGGTTGCCATTCAATTGGTCTCCCATGCATGACTTTTAATAAAATGCCTCTGCCATTTAATTCAGATATTAAAACACTTTGTGTAATGAGTCAACGATAAGACTTAACAATTATCTTCCTTGACGGGTAAGCTATAAAAAAGGATTATAACACAGTTACTGGAATATATGAATTAGCTTGGCCTATATAATCTTTACACTGATTCAAAACATTTCCTGAGAAAACTGAATAAATGAATTGCCAATCAAATATAATGGTTGGAGTACGAAAATAATTACCACAAGAGGGATTCCAAGAAACTCAAAGAAGGAACTTCCAGTACTCTTCCTTCCCTGGCAGACTTAGCACTGTGGCACGTGTGTCCTTTTGGTAAAGGTGCTTAGCACTGTGGCATGTGTGTCCTTTTGGTAACGGTGCTTAGCACGGTGGCTTGGTGTCTTAAGCCGATGAGAAAGTAAATAGTGAATGCATACCACAAATTACCAATAGTCCTTACAGGAACAAAACCCATCTTTAAAATGATGAAATCTATATCCATCTCTCATAATAAGTTCCCTTGAGGTGACTAAAGACAGAAGCTTTATTACCAAATGACAATCATCGCAGACACGAAGATTCTTCATTACACGTATTGGCATCCAAGATGGAAGATTAAGCAACCCAAAAGCAAAAGCCAGCTTTTCACTGTGATATTTACGACTTCTATGAACAGAAGAGTCTACACTAATATATTTTCCGGTATCTTCTATCTTCTTCATTATCTCCTCCAGTTTTATATGAACTTCCTTTATCTGTGGATGACTGGTGTCATCTACAGTGAAAACATTTACTCTGTTATCAACCTCTATCCAGCTACAACCCGTACTCTTTCGAATTCCTTTTGCTTTTATAAGTTTTCTCATATCAGCAACATTTTCTAACTCTCCGGATTCACCATATATATTTGCTAGAAGAACATAACCTCCAGAATCTTCAACATCTAATTCCATCAAATTCTTTGCAGCAGTTTCTGCTAGTCTCAGATCATGATGGATTCGGCATGCTCCTAGTAGAGCGCTCCAAACGGTTGCGTTTGGCTTAAAAGGCATTCCTTCTATCAAATTCTTTGCCTGCTCTAGTAACCCTGCTCGTCCGAGCAGATCTACCATACAAGCAAAGTGCTCATTTGTCGGAGAAATTCCGAAAACTTGAGTCATGGAATCAAAGTAATGTTTCCCTTCATCTACTAGCCCCATGTGGCTGCAACCCGATAAAACAGAAACATAGCTTATGTGATTGGGTTTACATTTCGACTTCAACATATCCTCGAAAGTTTCAATTACTTTCCTACCGAAACCGTTTTGAGCAAATGCTGCAAGCATAGCATTCCAGGAAATCAGGTCTTTGGCATATATTGAGTCAAAAGCATTCTTGGCTTCTTCGATTTGTCCACATCTTGAATACATAGTAATGATACTGTTTGCAACTGAAATGTTTGAACTGAGTCCAAACTTTATAGCATGAGTAACAACTTGCATCCCGAGTTTAACTATAGCTAAGTCAGCGCAGGCCCGGATTGAAGTTGTGAAAGTGATCCAATCCGGCTGGACTCTATTGCTCCTCATCAAAACATACAGCTTGAGACCTTCTTCGGAGAAACCATTTTGAACATATGTGCTTAACATGGAGTTCCAGGTTATGATGTTCCTCTCAGGCATCGTATCAAAACATTCTCGGGCTTTGTCAATGTCTCCACTCCGAGAGAATGCAGTGATCATGGCGGTCCACGATATGGTATTTCTAAGTGGCATTAATCTGAACACAAAATTAGCTTTGTCAGTATCTCCACATTTTGCATACATTGTAATGACTGCATTCCCTACAGGAGCAGAGGAATCCATCCCACTTTTGATTGTATACCCGTGGAGTAGTTCTCCAGTAGTGGCATAATTTTGACCCGAACAAACTCCAAGAGCGGTAGGAAGAATAAATTCATCCAACACCACAGAACTCTGTCTCATTTGGTTAAATAATATCAAAGCATCTTCATCAAGGCCAAATTGTGCCACACCAGTGATCAAAGAATTCCAAGAAACATGATCGCGATCCTTTAAACTGCTAAAGATACGCCTAGCCAATCCTAAGCGTCCACATTTAGCGTACATATCTATAAGACCATTACCCAAAACCAAATCCAAGCTATGTTCCATGCGAAGAATCCGAGCATGCAAATGAGCACCCCATTTCAAATCAGAAATGCTGGCACAAGCACTAAGTACACTTCCATAACTCATAAAATTCGGACTAAAACCCTGATTACACATCTCTACAAACATAGCAAGACACTCAACCCCAAAACCATGTTGAGAGAAAATCGAGATCAGCGTATTCCAAGAAACCTCATCACGCTCAGGCATTTGGTTGAATATCTCTAAAGCTTTATAAGGTCCATACATTTGAGAATAACCATAAATCATACTATTCCAACAAAACAAACTCGGTCTTTCAATATCAAAGAAAACCGTCTCCGCCAAACTAACATCTCCACACTTAACATACATACCAACAAGCGAGTTCTGAATGCAAGTCTCCATTCCAAAACCAAACTTAATAACCAAGCCATGTAACTCAAGACCCAACCGAGAGTCTCCAAGTAAACCACAAGCTTTCATTACACTAGTAAACGAAAAGGGGTCTAGACCATTCGAGTCCCTAAGCATTAAACTAAAAGTCTCAACACCACGTTCATGAAAACCATTTTGAACATAACCCGAAATCATAGTGGTCCATGAAACCGAATCTTTAACTCTCACAGGCATTTCGTCAAACAGTTTATCCGCTTCATTAATTCTACCGGAATTAACAAAAGCGCGAATCATAGTGTTCCAAGTAAAGATATTACGGTGATTGGTCTCTTGAAAGACTTGAAAAGCGTCGTGTGTTAAGCCACAGTTGGAGTACATGTGGAGTAGATTGTTGAGCAAGAAAAGGGAAGTGTGTAAACCGGAGAGTATGAGTTGAGCGTGAAGTTTGCGAGCAATGTGTGGAGATTTGAGGGAGAGGCTACAATGCTTGAATGCCTCGTAGAATTTTTGAGATATTTGCATGTAACACATTTTTGAGATATTTGCATGAAGATTGGATGTAAATTGTTTTATATATCAGCTGTATATCACGATAAAAATGAACCAACTTTGATATATAATTCAGCAGTTTGTTTCAAAGTTTTTAAAAATACTATTTCTATAATTTTACATTTTAAAAAAAAAATTAAGTCTTTATTTTGCAATGATCTTTACATTTTTTAACTATCTCAATTATTTTAATCAAACCTAAAATCGAAAAAATATAAAGACTATGGGGGCATTAAACATGATTCAATTAATTAAAATAAGAGAAAATTACACTCAACTCCTTTGAAATTTATTAAAACAGTACAAACATTATCTTTAGTTTTAAATTATGCGCTAACTTCCTTTGAGTTTTATTAAAATAACATTGACATTCTCCTTTAATTTTTAGTGATATTAAAAAATTGTTGGTATAAATAATATTTAATTACGTTTTTTTTATTTGTTATTAAATAATTTCGTTGATATAACTGAATTTATGAAAGATTAATGCATAGTTTATGTTGGAACATGTCCATGTTTCAATAGTTGAATTTAAAAATTTCTGAAGTCCCACATTGTTAGAATATTTTTTTGGTTGAAAAAATTATTTAGTCCCACATTGCTCATTCTAAATCACACCAAAAACTATTCTATTAGTTTTTCCTTCCTCACTCTCATAACTTTGCGTCTCTCGAATTGTCGAAGCGCCATTATTATGAATGGTCAAATGACCATTATTAATTTCTCTTTGGAGAATTATTTGAATTTCTCTTTGTTGGAGAAATTATTATGAGTGGTCAAATGACCATTATTAATTTCTCTTTGGAGAATTATTTGAATTTCTCTTTGTTGGAGAAATTATTATGAGTGGTCAAATGACTATTATTAATTTCTCTTTGTAGAATTATTTGAGTTTCTTTTTGTTTAAGAAATTATTATGACTGGTCTTTGTACCAGATACTACGAATGGTGTTGATACCATATTTGAATGGTCTTGTACCATCAGAGGGTGTATTTCTAGACCGATTATCTATCATGCAAGTAGTAATCGTACAATATAGAACTGGGCTGTTTTATCCTGGAGGCGGCGCGATAGTTTGACTGCTTTGCATAATTTTTGAGCAGTGCCGCGAAACGTCTTAAAGAGAGCGACCTAGTCCGCGACTCAACCTAGTAATTTCTTCGGTGGCAAATATTTCAAAATCTGAATCCAACAATTTTAAGACGTTTCAAACTGCCACGGCTACCGAAGAAATTATTGGTTCTTTTGCGGATATTGTCGTTGAGAAATCGTTCATGTTTGAGAGAAGTCACTTCAAATGTTGGCAACAAAAGATGAAGTTCTTAATATTGAAAAAAAGTTGCTAACGTTTTGATCGATGACATTCTGTTGCTCCTTCTGGATCAATCGAACAAACTAACGGTAGTAAATCTGGAGATTTAGAAGGAACACTTAATAGTGTTGAAGTTGAATCTGCTGCACAGATTAAAGCGGATGATTTACAACATAGTAAAGAAATCACCTTATAGAAAGAGAATGAAAATCTCTACAAAATCATATTTTGAATAGACTCGCAGATGATCTGTATGATAATTACAGTTGATGTGATACTGCAAAACAAGATTGAAAGACTCAGAAAAAGAAGTATGACGTAGAAGCTGGAGCAAAGAAGTATGTTGTTAGCCGCCACTTCAAGTATCAAATGCAAAAATCTAAGGTCGATGGAGGCTCAATATTACGAACTTCAAAAGATTGCTTAAAAGATCATCACAAAAGGTATGTGTTTAAATGAACAATTTCAAATTGGTTTTATTATTGACAAACTACTCCATAGTTTGAATGTTAAAAAAAAAAAGGAATCTTAGAGACAATATCAAAAAGAAAAAGTCTTGGTTGTTTCAAACAACAAAAAGAAATTCGGTGTAGTTCTGGAGCCATTTGGAAAATGATTAAAGAATCAGAACCACAATATTACGAACCGAATTAAGAATGAGAATCCTTCTATGATCCCAATAGCTCCAACTAGGCAACAACCACCACCTAAAAGAAATGATGTTGGTTTCCCTTTGTTTTAACTATGGAAAATCAAGTCATATGACTAAGAAATGTAGAAGTAAGCTTGAACTTCTTGGTGTTGTCCCTAATGCATGGGTCAACCTGACTAATGGGCAATTTATTGCTATGGTCATTGAAATCAACATGGTTGATGGATATGTTGGTTGGTGGATAGACACATGCGTCTCTCGTTGTGTCTGTTATGATCGTGTTATGTTTAAACATACACGAATACTAAAGATAATAAAGTGTTGTTGGGATATGGCCAGACCATGAATGTTGCTGGAATTGTAGACATGGAGCTAAATTTCACCTTCAAAAAGACTTTAATCTTAAGGAATGTTATGCATGTTCCTAAGATTAGAAAGAATATTGTTTATGGTTTTCTTTTAATAAGACATGGTTTAGTCAGTCTATTGGGGTAGATTTATACGCCATTACGAAGAATGAAGTTTATATGTTTAAAACTTTTGTAAAGAATTTGAAAATGATATAATAAGAATTTATAGTGATAGAGAAACTGTACGAGTCTAGTTTATTAATGAATTTTATACATAGAATTGTACATGAAACGATTGCACCATACTATCTTGCAATGAATGGTAAAATAGAAAGAAAGAATATAACTTTTACTGAACATGTTGTTGCAATTATGATGAATTATGATGCTGCTCCTCACTGGTGGGGGGAAATTTTATTGACTGTTTGCTATATCCTGAATAGAGTCCCCAAGTCAAAATGTAAGATCTCTCCTTATGAGATATTAAAGAAAAGACAATCAAACTTGTCTTATTTGAGAACTTGGGGTTGTCTAACTTATGTCAGAATTCCGGATCCGAAACGAGTTAAACTCGCTAGTAGAGCATATGAATGTGTTTTCATTCGGTATGCAGTAAACAGTAAAGCATATAGGTTTTATGACCTAAAGGCAAAAGTGATCATAGAATCAACTGATGTTGAATTCTATGAAGACAAATTTCCTTTCAAATTGAGAAATAGTGGGGGCACACAATCGAGTCACATTCATGTGATAAGAAGCACAGAAAGCAACGACAGTGTAGAAACAGAACTTCAACGAAGTAAACGAGTAAGAGTTTCTAAAGACTATAGGCCTGATTGTGCGGCTTATAATGTAGAAGAAGATCCAATGAATCTTCAAGAAGCCTTGTCATCTCTGGATGTTTAGTTATGGCAAGAAGCTATCAATGATGAGATATAATCTCTAGAATCTAACAAGACCTGACACTTAGTAGACTTGCCTCCTGGTTGCAAACCAATCAGTTGTAAATGGGTTTTGAAAAAGAAACTAAAACCTGATGGAACTACTGATAAATACAAGGCTCGCCTTGTTGCAAAGGGTTTTAGACAATGAGAAAATATAGATTTTTTTTTACACCTTTTCTCCTGTCACTAGAATTACATCCATTAGGGTACTTATTTCAATTACTGCTATTTATAACTTAATAGTACACCAAATGGATGTTAAAACAGTTTTTTTTAAATGGTGACTTAGAAGAAGAAATCTATATGAAACAACCGGAAGGGTTTGTGATCTATGGATAAGAAAACAAGGTCTATAAGTTAGATAAGTCTTTGTGTGGGCTAAAACAAGCTCCAAAGCAATGACATGTAAAGTTTAATAACTTAATGATATCGAATGTGTACAAAGTGAATGAAAGTGACAAATACGTTTATTACAAATTTGAGAATTGTATTTTCACTATCATATGTCTATATGTAGACTATCTACTCATATTTGGATCAAACATCCAGGCCATTAATGATATGAAATCATTGTTGTGCAACAACTTTGATATGAAAGACCTCGGAGAAGTGAGTGTGATTCTTGGTATGAAGATCACAAAATCCGAGCAAGGAATTTCTTTGGATCAATCACAATATGTGAAAAAGATCTTAAAGAAATATAATTACTTTGACAGTAAACCTGTGAGCACACCAAATGATCCAAGTGTGAAGCTGTTTAAGAACACTGGTGAAAGTGTTAGGCAAACAGAACATACGAGCATCATTGGAAGTCTTAAGTATTCCATTGATTGTACTAAACCTGACATTGCATATGTCGTAGGGATTGTTGTGCGGGTTTACTAGTAGACCAAGTAATGAACATTGACAAGATATTGAGCGAGTCATACGGTACCTTAAAAGGACCATGAATCTCGGTTTACATTAACAGAGATTTCCTGTTGTACCTGAAGGATACAATGATGCAGATTGGAATACCTTATCAAATGATTCCAAAGCAACTAGTGGCTATGTATTCAACATAGCTAGATGAGTTGTATCTTGGAAATCAAAGAAATATACTATCCTTAGAATATAGCATTAGCGACTGCTAGTGAAGAAGCAAGTTGGTTAAGATGCTTGCTAACTGAGATTCCTTTATGGGAAAAACATATGTCAGTTATGTTGATCCACTGCGATAGTACTGCGACTATTGCAAAAATTAAGAACCGTTATTATAATGGTAAAAGACGTCAAATAAGAAGAAAGCACATCACTGTTAGAGATTGTATCTCTAAAGGAGCTGTAAGAGTGGATCATGTACGCACTGATGAAAATTTAGCAGATCCTTTGACGAAAGGATTAGCTAGAGAGAAAGTCTATAATACATCATATAAGATGGGACTAATGCCTATAGGAAAATGAGTTGCTCATGATGGTAACCCGACCTAAATGATTGGAGATCCCAAGAAATAGGTTCAATGGGTAATAACAAGTTATGAGTAATATGAGATGATCATGCAAGTAAAGCATGAATCCTGAAGTAATAAGAGGATGAGATAATAGAAACTCTTAATGAGATCTATACTCTGTATGAGGGAGTACCTAGGCTACAAGAGTACTCTTGATAGACTCACTTATGTGATTGTGGAACTTAGGCTGGTTCCTATGGAATTTCGAGGCATAATTCCTAGAGCCTTCATTA